TGACTGTTACTAAGAACATGAAATGGTTCCCGTTCTCATTAAATGTTTATACAAATTATTTTAATCCTCATTACTGAATGAGACAGGTAATCAGACAATAACGAATGTTAGTGATTTATTTTAACAAGAAGAGACACCCAAACATTCCTCGGGGTGGTTACTTGATCTGAAAATAGGAAAGACAAACAATTTCTCATATAATATCGTCCTAGCTAGCAACTAATAAAGAAAAGTTGGATAAACTTACAAAAGAACTAAGGAAATATTTATTAAACGTGCAATGGGAATGTTCAGGTTGAAGAAAGATGAGATGAATGACAAATTTACAACACTGATGTGTACTTGACAACCCTGGTGTGCACCTGACAACCCTGGTGTGCGCTTGACAACCCTGGGGTGTACTTGACAACACTGGTGTGTACTTCACAATCCTAGTGTGTACTTGACAACTGTGATGCGTACTTTACAACCCTAGTGTGTACTTGACAACCCTGGTGTGTACTTGACAACCCTTATGTTTACTTGACAACCATTGTGAGTGTACCTGACAGCTCTGGTGAGTACTTGACAACAATAGTGTGTACTTGAGAACGCTGGTGTGTACTTGACAACGCTAGTGTGTACTTGACAATCCTGGTGTGAACTTGTCACCCCTGGTGTGCACTTGACAACCCTGGTGTTATATAAAACTTGTCTTCAGTTATGTGCGTCCAAGTCGATAGTCATATGAGACCGAGAAGTCTCATCTTTGCTTTACCTTGCAATGTTACTTAATTGGGGTTAGGAAAGCGTATGTGCGCTTCTTGTATTTGTCCAATAAAGTTCATAACTAGCAGAGTTCTAGTCTTTCCTGGTAGCTACAAGTCAGACTTACCTTCACATTTTTCCGTGTCTAGATTTGTACACTATCAAGTTAGTGTCTCATGCTTGTGTACTAATACCATATGTTTTCACCAAATTCTTTATGCTAGCTAGTTCTTGTTTGTTACGGAAGTGTATCTTGTGTAAGTAATCCAGTCATAATCCACTGCTTCCTGAGCTGTCAGTTCCAATAATGACTCTACCATCTGACTCCAATGAGTAGTATCGTAATCTAATAACTTTTAGAAATTATATATATGAGGGCAACAATGACGTAAAATAAAATAAGAATTATAACCACCTATGATCAGCTCTTTCTGAACCAATGTAATCTTCCGACTATGCAAATGAAGTGTAGACAAGTTCATTCAAAAACAAGTTTCATTCTGAAACCCATAATGTTACAGAGACAAAGCATTAACTGTGACAATTACAGAAAAATACATACCTCTACATACAACTGAACAAGTGTACAGCAGTTACAAATTTGTTTTTTAATTTTTGACATAAATGAAATAATCTACAAATTGATATGAATATGATAAATATTCGTTAAACATAATACCGTAATAATATAATCAGATGTACTCACATTTATATCAGTAATAGTAAAGGCAGTATTGATAATGAAAATTAACAATAACAGTAGGAGCTGCCTAATGACAATATCATTAATAGACTAACAACTATATTAGTGTCTAATCAAAACGTTACAACCATATTTCATTCTAGATGGTCAGATAAAGACCCAGTTCAAAGATATACAGAGATTGTTAAGGTCTGTAGACGTTAAAGGTTAATGTCGATGTCTCTGATGTCGCTCTAGCAAGGTACTCCGCAGAGTGACAATGGTCATGAAAAACACAAAGTGAAAGTGACCCCAGGAACACTTCACTACGTATTAAGACATAATTACCTGCTCAGTAATACTCTATTACGTTAAGACACTTACCTGCTCAGTGATACTTGTTACGGGGAGGGGGGGGAGAAGGGGAACTATTATATTACTGAGAGGAAAGATGCAGAGCTGATGCTGACACCCATACAGCCATCTGCTTTGCCGCAACTTTTTTGTTAAGAGGTTCAAGATTGCAAGAACATCCTTTTCTATCTTCCCTATACTCTTCTACTTTGGTACTGAGTCAGCACCCAGCCCCCATGTGCACCAGTGATACTCTTCTACCTAGGACCCAAAGTCAGCTCTCAGCCCCCATGTGCACCAGCGATACTCTTCTACCTTGGTACCAAAGTCAGCTCTCAGCTCCCATGTACACCAGTTAAAACACAGGGACCTCACAAGCTCCCCTGAAGACTTGGCTATCATTTGGCTGTCCCCAAAGGGTGGAATGTAGAGCGTGAGGTGTCAAGGCGAATATATGTGATGACCTCGGCCACCTGGTCACCCTGTTACTTTAGCAATAATTTGGCTAATCATCTACACGCCCAGTACCAAAGAAAAAGACTTCTCCAACGCTCCGTGTTCCAAAGTAGCTCTCCAAACTATGAGGCTAGGCTCCTCGGTCCCTCAAACAAAAACAAAAATGTCTTACTCAGTGACCAATATATAATTTATAATTATAATTCATTGTGACGGGGGACAGGAAGCCAGAGTGTATTCATACACGTTAGTCTGATGTCGAGGTCCCCCCAAGGTCGAATTACTGACCCCGCCCAGGATGCAGCAACACAACAAGCTGACTAACACCCGAGTACCTACTTACTGCTAGGTGAAAAGGTACATTAGGTGAAAGGAAATGTGTCCAACCATATCTGTCCCGCCCGGGATTCGAACCCGGAATTCTCGATTGTGCGTCGAGAACGAACCCGACAGCACTACCGGGACCCTTGCAGCCAATGTAACCTAAATATACAGCGCGTCCTCCAAACAAAGATCCAATAGTGATTCCATGCACCCGCCAAACCCCCTGTTTATGAATTAAAAAACGGTTTATTTACGACTCACAACTGATGACGTTCGAACACTTCCGGAACAAGTGCTTCACTGACGAATTTTATCGAACCACAATGCTATAAATGCTTCACCTACGTACTACAAATACAAATAATCGCCAACATAACTTAAACACCTAACCTAACCTATGCCCATATATGCACAATATGCTAATATATTATAATATTAATTTATATTTGAGAAAATTCCTGTTTTGAATGAACAGCATGTTAAAATTTAAAAATGCGTCTGTGGTGTGTGCAGTCACTATTGTCCTTTAATGCCAATAGTGACTGCACTATTGGCATTAAGGCACATTCCTATGTTTGTTTTCTTAGTCTGTTTCAATTCTTCATTCGTGGTCTGACACTCCAATTCCAGATGTCCAGCCCACGTTTGAAACAATAGAGGAACCCCACCTCCATCACGTTTTGCGGCAATTGGTTCCTCAAATCAACAACCATGTTACCGAACCAGTATTTCCCCAAGTTTTTCCTAAATCTAAACTTATCCAATTTATACCCTTTGTATAAGGGTATAAAAACAGTGAATGTACATGTCACTATGACGCCGCACATACATGCCACTAGAGCATCTAGGTCTAGCAGGATTTGTGTCATGCGTGAATTGGTGTCAAGAATTAAAACTAGGAAAGTCTAGCCTGAATGGTCCCCAGTTAGCATTTGTCTTGTTTGCATTTGTGTTCCTCATGTGTGCCCCAAAGAATGAGGTGATTTGATAAAAATACCATGCCCAAGATTACCAACCGAGTGCCGGCGGGAGGATGGAAATAGCCTCGGCTACCATCCTCTTTTGTCCGGTCGTGTTGGTCGAGCGGTTAAGGGATCCTGTACGCCAGCAGGGTGCTCCTGGCAGTTTGGGTTCGAGTCACATCTGGGGTGTGAGTTTTCAGTTGCATATAGTCCTGTGGACCATTCAGACTTGTTCGCATATATATATATATATATATATATATATATATATATATATATATATATATGTCGTACCTAGTAGCCAGAACGCACTTTTCAGCCTACTATGCAAGGCCCGATTTGCATAATAAGCCAAGTTTTCATGAATTAATATATTTTCCCTAATTTTTTTCTTATGAAATGAAAAAGCTACCCATTTCATTATGTATGAGGTCGCTTTTTTTTATTGGAGTTAAAATTAACGTAGATATATGACCAAACCTAACCAACCCTACCTAACCTAACCTAACCTATCCTTATAGGTTAGGTTCGGTTAGGTAGCCGAAAAAGTTAGGTTAGGTTAGGTTAGGTAGGTTAGGTAGTCGAAAAACAATTAGTTCATGAAAACTTGGCTTATTAGGCAAATTGGGCCTTGCATAGTAGGCTGAGAAGTGAGTTCTGGCTACTAGGTACGACATATATATATATATATATATATATATATATATATATATATATATATATATATATATATATATATATATATATATATATATATATATATATATATATATATATATATATATATATATATATACATTAATATAGATGTACATTAATAACAAAAGACCCAAACATGCATCATGCTGCTTAGTATACACTTAAGAAGTATGGGAATAATTATACTCTAGCAAACCTAACAAACTAGGCTAACAAAAAACTGCCAGAGAAAATGTTTCAGAACTTTCAATGTTAATTTTCTCAGTTAGAGGGGAGAATGTAATACCTTTATTTTTATGAATCAAGATGAGTAAAAATCTAAACAAAAACTAGTGATTAATATTAAAATATTAAGGCCTTAACTTTTCATGAAATATTTCTATTTTCTAAAGAAATACACTCAATGGAAACCAATTCAGTCAGGTTAGTTGAACTCGAGAGTTTAATATAAAGGCAATTCATGGTTGATAACCCGTTTTGAGTTAAATGTAGCTCATACTAGGTCATCGCTCGGTACTTTTGCAAGCTTACTGCATTAAACTTTTTACACGCAATTTCTAACAAATCAAAGTGAACTGACCACATTACAAAGAGAAAGCTTAGACGCTTTAAGGTGAAGGTGACGAACGATGATAATGTGAAAACATAAAATGAGGGAAAAAAAAGCTGCTTAGTCATGCCTGGGTAGCAGAACAAGGTCTGCAAGGGGCAGGTCAAGAAGGTCACAGGGTGAGAATTACCTCCAGCCCTATAAAAGCTCCTAGACATTCAATCTCACTATCATTGTAGCTCAGCTCCTCAACGGCAAACATTCTACAATCATGGTAATTTGTTGTATTTAACCTTCCTTCTAAAGGAAGGTACTTTATATTCTGCATCATAAATGGAATAATTAGGTCATATTGTTAATATATAATTATCATATTTTCAACATGAATTCTGAAACTTTTGTCAATAACAGAGATTCCAGTGCATCCTAACGGTGTTGGGCGTGATGGTGGGCGTCTCGTATGCCGGTATAATCTATGGAGGACTAGGTGAGTGCTGTTCATATTGAAAGTCAGTTTAATTTATTTTATTTCATTTATTAGCTAAGTAAATGATTTAAGTATCTCCTTAGCTATTAAAACTATGTTTAATAAATGTTGAAAAGATATTTCTTACTTAGGAATTAATTATTCTTATGAAACAGAGGATACTGATATCGTGTCTTTTAGCCAGAACCTTCCATGTGGCTCAGTATCCAGGAGTGGTTGGTTCTACGTTAAATATACGTCATTAATTTTAATTCAACTTTGATTACTTTTACTGAGCGATGAATTGACTGTTGTTGTTGTTGTTTTAGTTTCAGCTACTCGGAACAAAAAGTTCCAAGTAGCATGGGCTATGGTGAGCACGTAAGTGGAGGCTCTTTGGAGCTAATATCTGTATTATCAAGCTGATACTGGAGATGTGGGATGGGGTCCGTGGACGTGCCAATCCAATCCAAATCCATAAGGCTGGTAAGACCGGAGAATTCATGGGGTACACACGTTGCTAACAGTTAATTACCACAGGAGTTAGCAGGGCTGTCGGCGGGCTGGCCACAGTCGGCCGGTCTAGGGGGAGATGCCCGGGTGTTACAAGAAGATTGGATTCCTTATCCCAGTTCCCCGAAGTTGGTAGTCTGGTCGAATTTCCTTCTTCAAGGTGTCGTAGTCGCAGAGGTGGTCGAGGCGTTCTTGAGGGACGACCATGCGAAGGATCCGTCCTGTTTCCCTGCACTTGTATTCCCAGTAGTCGTTGCGATGAATTGAAGTTTCTATTGGATATTTATACCCATTTGAACACTTCTTGACCTAATAAGCAAGGCCCGATTTGATTAATAGGCAAAGCGAGTTTTGCTATTTTTAAATATTTATTTACATCAAAATTCATACATTCTTTAAAATATAATTATATAACATTATGAACATGAACTACTGATTTAGTTATGTGTGATGTCTTCGAATTTCTGTTACTTTTGGCCGAATTAAACAAAATCTAGATTATATAGTTCAAAAGCGATAAATTTTGTCATTCAATAGGAGAAAATGTCTGAAAAACATTTATCATTTTAATGCTTATCATTTCATAAAAAATTTGCTCATTAGCTATTTACGGCTATTGGACACATTTAATATATAAACATTAAATTAAACACTTCATTATTATAATTATGGATATTATCCTTTCAACATAAAGAAACACTAAATCACTTAATCTTCAATTTTATTTCGATGTTTCTTCAACAACGTGATGGCTTCAAGAATGTTCTCATGGTTCAGAGAACACAAGTGTACTAAAGTCATATGCAAAAACAAATATAAGCGAAGGGTTCACCTCACACCAATTCATATTTTTGGGAATGAAAATATTCCTTAATCGTAGAGAGCGATGAGGTCTCAATCGATGGTTGTCATAAGCGATTGGTATCTTCCCTGTGAGCAAAGCAAAGGACATACTTTGGCCCATACAAATTCAAATAATTGCCAATAGAACCTGAAAACCTAACTTAACCTTTGCCTAAATATGCAAAATATGCATAATATGCACAATATGCACTATTATATTATTTTATATTAGATAAAACTTCTATTTCGAATGAATAGCATGTTAAAATTGCAACCCATCGTCAGGCAATGCTCGTCTATCTGGCCGTCAACCCCATGGACGCAGTCATCAATGTACTGTGCATTCAGAATAGAAATTTCCTCATAAATAATTATTATTTTATATTAACAATTGTGCAAATTTAGGCTTAGGTTAGGTGTTTAGGTTCTGTTGACAATTATTTGTATTTGAAGTATTTGGGTGAAGCATTTACATCCCTTTACCAGAAATGTTCGAACGTCATCAGTTGTGAGTCGTGTGTACAGTGTTTATCATTAGTGAACAGACGATTTGACTTCTGGATTAACGATCATTTGCCCTTGGTTTATTAGGAGGGGCTGAAAAAATGACGAGGGCATCTTTGGGGTCGGCCGCTGGACTGAATGAACATAACCTGAGAAGGGAGTTGGAGCATAACAACTCGGATTCTTAGATGATACTATTTTCCCACTACGTTGTTGAATGTTATGTTAATGGGTTTCTGGCAGCCATTTATTTCTTCATGTTTTTACACATAAAGGGTTTCGGAAGTTGTTTTTCTCCCCGACTCCGGCCTGAGGCCAAGCTCGACTCGTTTTTATATTGTGAATCTTCCTATTACTAATTATTGTTATAGTAATTAAGATTTGTTATTGAACTTCATGATTTACGCTAAACACTTTCAACCAACAGGTGGCGGACTCGGTGGAATTGGCTCAGGAATTGGTGGACTGGGCGGAGGAATTGGCCACGGAATTGGAGGTCTAGGTGGTGGAATTGGTGGATTGGGACATGGCATTGGTGGAATTGGTGGACTCGGCAGACTCGGCGGTGGAATTGGACTCGGCGGTGGAATTGGTGGACTGGGCGGTGGAATTGGTGGATTGGGCGGTGGATTGGGACATGGCATTGGTGGAATTGGTCATGGAGGCGGCCTTTACGGATATTACGGCATTGGTGGTCTTTACGGTCTCATCAGAAATGGCAAGAGATTCGCTATATACGGTAAATAATAAAATTATAATCATCAATGTTCTTGGCAATTATGTGTGTACTTTGAAAATCACTTAAATGCACCATGAATACACAGTAATATTTCTCTCGTTTATACGGCATCATGAGAGGCATATTTTGCAGACTTCATAAACTAATATTGAATTGCAATTTCAGGACGATAAAACTGACGGACAGTGCAGTTGACAGAGTTGGAGATTGTTCATGTTAACTGAATAATCTTGTCAATAAATATTTTGTCAAAGAAGACATTTTAATTCCTTCATTTGTTAAATCGTAGCACATATGTTAGTCCAATGTTACCGTAATGTTAGTGAAGCACTTTTTTTATTCATTTTACTATATATTAACTAAATCAGCAAATAATTCAACACAGATTATTTTTGTTCTTTTGAGATCACTGAAGTGTTATGTCAAAGAGACTAACAACTCGTAGTTACATTAAACAGCAATGTGAACTTAACAAAAACAAATGACACAAATTTAGGTGATATCGCGAGAAACATTTATTAAACGCATCAGTGATCTAAGAAGCCCACAGGCTCTGGAAACCCTCAAATTCATGGGTAATAAATGATAATTTACATGAATTTAGTAGATTGACCATCTATATATATATATATATATATATATATATATATATATATATATATATATATATATATATATATATATATATATATTACGGTCAATATATATACCTGTGGGATGCCGCTGCTCGGCAAACAGGTCGTGTCAGTGGTGTCTCTGACAGTGTTGTGGTGACGTGCGCGTCCATCCTCCGCTGCCCTCGGATTTTTTTTTTTTTTTTTCCTTTTAGAAGTATGATACATATATATATATATATATATATATATATATATATATATATATATATATATATATATATATATATATATATATATATATATATATATATATATATATATATATATATATATATATACATATATATATATATATACATATATATATATATATATATATATATATATATATATATATATATATATATATATATATATATATATATATATATATATATATATATATATATATATATATATATTGATGAGTTACCCAACAGTGCCCGGGAAGACCCGGTAACTGGTTCTCCTATGCTCTCCCTCCCCTCCCCTCCCACCTCCCAACAAACACCCTTCCTGTTTCTCTTCACACACTCCCTCCTAATCTCACCTATTTACTGGAAATGTCACACACTATCTTTAACATTGTTATCATCTTCACACCCTCTCCATCTTCCAGTCTTTCCTGTGCCTCGGGAGCAATCGGTCGCACCAGGCCTCCTCCCACATAGATTTACTACACAATGGATACAGTCGGTGCTAAGGAGTTATACAACTTAGCCGTGATATACACTTGGGTCACACATACAGAATAGGTGTGTGTCTGTGGTATGGTCACCACCTGCACTGCTAAATAGGAAGTGCCCTTGATGGAGAACAAGGTGGACCATGCAGCCGTGTTGGAAAGGTGGTGGTGAGGGGACAAGCCTCAGGCCTTCCCTCTTAACTCGCCATTTGGCATATACCACACGTGTATCGGGCGCACGAAAATAGGTTTTGCGCCCTACTACCTACAGCGCCGTGATTGCCTTGTTCTTCGTCCGGCGACGCTGGTGACTTTGAAACAATGTAGCCTCAGTTCAGTGTAAATACGCTAACCTGACCAACTTCTACATCCGTTAATTGTGTGTGTGCAGTGTTGTTGACGTTTGAGGATGGTGTGTTGGCCTTAGGTTGAAATGTTGCAGTAAAGGTGAACAATAAGAAGCTGTGCTGGTGTACTGGATTCTAAAGCAACTAAAAAGGTTGGTGCCCTCCCGTGACCCTGGTGCCAAATCTCCTCCCACCCCTCCTATGCTAACGATTGAGCAACGTGCTATTGGCTGTTCAATGTACGTGATGCTGCATGATAATCCGCAGCCCTCTACCCAGCGAGCAGTTTCATCGATGGACATGCTTTCTTGTCACCACTGTGATATAAATAATCTGCATAAATAACAAGAGTAAAGGAATCAAGGCAACCACCCTTGTCCCAGGTGAGTCGCCGCTGCTGCCAGATGTGCATTCAGCAGCCCAGATTGTTCCTAATTCACCTGCTGCTGGTACACAAGTCTCTCTCCATGCAAGAGAGAGCCAAGAAGAAAATGGGGCTGTATTCCAAAAGGTGGTGAGCAAGAGGGAAAAAAGGCGACTACAGCAGGAAAGAACTCGACTAATCCGCGTGTTTTTCCCTCCTGGCACTGGTCTTGCTGATAGATTTCAGTGGTTTTCTGCAATCTCAAAAGCCCATCACACTAAACGCATGAAGATAAAGAGAGATGAAGACAATCATGTCTTTGTCACGAATGATGATGCATTTATTAACGACTTGTTAACAAGGGAATATGCTGGCATAAAAATGTTGCCAGCACCGTGTGATGATTCAGTGAAGGTGAAAATCGTCTTCTTTGGTGTTAACAAGTGCATTTGACCCAGAGTGTTTCCGGTCTGACAATGTGGGAAACCCACACCGCACTAAGAATGACCTCATCGTTGCAAGCATTACAGCATCAACGGAAATTCCCAAGCGACTCTCAGTGCCCCTAGCGCTGGGTAGAACTTACAGAGTGGCTCGCTATATACCCCTACACAGGAGGTGCTACAAATGTCAGCGTTGGGGCCACACTGCAGTGCGCTGCACCTCCAGGACCCACCGATGTGCAGTGTGTGCTGGTGACCATGATTCTAAGAGGTGCGTTGACCTTTACAACGACGGGAAGATGGTGGCAACTAGATGCGTTAATTGTCGTTCTCCGGGCGTGATGGCAACTCACCAGAGCTGCCCAGCTGCTGCTAGGCCGCCCCCTACAAGCAGTGCCCCGCTCTACAAGGCGCCGCGTCATGATGATGGAGAGTCACCATCGGTGGAAAGTTGTCCTATGCCATCAACTACGGTGAGCCACAGCTGGCACTCTCACTCCCCGCTCGCCCTTGACTCATTCTGGATAACGAAACAGCGGCGAGCGTCTCTGGCCACTCATCTGGGCACCGGGTGCCACAGTACACAGTTGCCAGGTGTGGCTCGCCCCGGCCGGCGGGGTGGAAGGTCATCGCCCCCCTCCTCTCGAGGTGGGGGCCGCCACCAGCTCGGCCTCCCCTTCCCACCCACAGTCACCCTCCCATGGTGGGGAGGTATCTGTGAAGGCGCGGGCAAAAACTGCAAGCAGTGCAAAATAAGGCGCTAAGGAGAGCAGCAAAACACCGTCCACCATATGATCAGACAATCCAGGAGCTCCATGAACTCCTGAACATAAAGCCACTAAACATCAGACTGCAGCACCAAGCCATCAGGGTGTGGAACACCATCGAAATGTTAGAGGACCCAATGTTTGAAAGATTGCTCCAAGATGAGACGCCCCGCTCCCATAGCTGGTGGCCCAAGAGCCTCGATTCACTAGATGAAAATCCAGCCCCACAATACATAATTCCCAGATGATATACTAACCAGATATCCTTCCCCCCATAATTGAAAAATTTAGTATGTATGTGTATGTGTATAGTTACGTATTTGCATATGTATATGGGTATATATGTAAGTACGTGGGTGTATGTATATAGTATATATATATATATATATATATATATATATATATATATATATATATATATATATATATATATATATATATATATATATATGTATATATATATATATATATATATATATATATATATATATATATATATATATATATATATATATATATATATATATATATATGTACATGTATGTATATGTGTACATGTATATAACATTAATAATTGTGTAACTAGCGTCAAAAATGTTTATTTGATTAGCAAAATGAACTAGAGAGTTCAGTTCCTGAACCGATTATGTGCCTCTGTAATCCTTTACACCACCGCCCACGAGATGGGTATGGGGTGCATAATAAAGAAAAAAAATGAAATCTCCTCTTCCCTAACACGTCTTCAAAATCTACACCCCCAAACTCCTTCCCTATATTTTCCCCCACAACAACAGTTATATTTCTTTCATTAGATTTAAAGACAATAATTTTACTCCCAGTATTATGTACCGACAGTAATCCGCTTTTTAGTGTTACTGAGCTATACAAGACTGTAACTCATGAACTGTCTACCTCACTCCCCCTTGAAGATTTAATTATAATAACAAGGTTGCCCTGCTACGTAGCACGGAAGGTGCACTGGTGAAGGTTATGGTGGGTGGGAGGCGTCGCCGGTCCTATATAAGGTCGTGCACACCCTTCCTCGGCATCACTCTAGCTTCACTCCTCAACAAAACAACAACTTTTACAACCATGGTAAATGTTACTCCTACTATATGTAATATTGTGCAAATTAGATCTCTATTACAGATAGCTTCATTATAATGACTGCATTATATCTCTATTACTGATAGCTCCTTTATAATGACTGCAGTAGATCTCTATTACTGATAGCTTTTTTATAATGACAGCAGTAGTTAGTTTCTTTATAACGTCTTCAATAGATAGCTTCTTTATAAGGACTTTATTTTTTTAATCATGCTCAAATGCAAACGTTACTCTTTCCTTGGACAGCGTTTCCTCTCAGTACTGACGGTGTTGGCCGTGATGGTGGCCGTTGCCTATGGTGCTCCCGGCATCATCTATAGACGAGGCTATGGCGGTGGTCTTGGAGGCTTCGGTGGTGGATTCGGCGGTGGTCTTGGAGGATTTGGCGGCGGTCTGGGTGGATTCGGCGGTGGTCTTGGAGGCTTCGGTGGTGGCCTAGGCGGATTCGGCGGTGGACTTGGAGGATTTGGCGGTGGTTTCGGTGGATATGGCCGCCGGTATGGCTACGGTAAGTACAGGAAAATGCAGTTTATGCAGTGCAGTTACATTGAATAATGTACTAACATATGAATAAATATTAGAACTATATAAAATAATCTACAAATCGAGATGATTCGGATTATATAATAATACTAATTGTGAAACATTTACTTTCTTCCTTCAGGCTATGGAAGGTGAAGCTCCCGGCTCCTGTAAATGACTGGATCTGACCTCAGATGTCGTCACTGATTCATGACCATTATTTTGTAAATATAATACCTTTACATAAAGCTGTGATTTAACTTATTACCTTTGGAAATGACAAACAGACTTTTGAACAGAATCAGATATTTTATAATATTTTGTCGATGTTCAATCCCTTCTTTCAGTAAAAGTATTAATTTAATGAACATAAAAACTTACAGTTGATAATTATTGAATAAATTTCAGTGTTGACAAGAAGAGACTCTGATTTAAACTATTCATCCCAATAAGCAAACACGTTCTATGACATCAAGTGTTGCTGTCTTTAAACACGAAAATTCAGATGTTTAATTCCTAATTAATATAAGTTTTTGTCTCTTTTTATTACCATTACATTTGATGATTTCCAAGAACAGATTAGATAATTATATTTTAATGATTACATATTTTAATTTAAAAACATTTTATATGCTATAAACTTTAATAGTCGTGGAGCGACTTTAACATATTAATCATCACTAAGGGATCGAGATAACAGGAGTAAAAGAAATATTATTTCCCGCGCTATTGCGAATTGCATCTCATATGGCACTGACAGTGATGCTGATTATATCATGATTCCTGAGTCGTCCTCCTTGTGAGGTTTAAACTAGCTGGTACTTCTGAAGTTCCTTTACAATCTGAGCATCCATGGCCGGGTTGGCAGGACGGCGCTCCCGTATATTAATATCCTTAGTTCGAATCTCTGATAATGTAAGTGAATGAAAAAATATTGCTTCTTCAGTTCGGAATTAATTCCCGGACCATCCACGCTGTTGGTCACTATTCCCTCTTTATCGTTTCCCAAATCCTTATCTCCATATACCGTCCAAGTGCTATGTATGTCAGCGCTTGGCAGGGATAATTACGCTTTCTGATTATAATTACCTTACCTAAGAAAATTACTTGGTCTCTCTCGCTCGTGCTGTGTATCACACTCTTATTATCTCAATGTTTCTCTCACTCTTTTTTGTCTCTAATTCTGTCTGTCTGCCTCACTCTTTTTATCCCTATCCCTTTATCAATGCTTCCTTATTCGATGTTATGTTCTTCATGATATCCTCAATGCACCATAATTTTAACAGTGTAGACTACTGATCAAATGGGACTGTATGACTAACCATCCTGTGTGATGGGGATTTATAGCATCACGGAGCTAGTTCTTGACACACTCTGTTCTCTCCTTTATTGTCCAGAGCAGCTGCACAAATGGAGATGTACTTAAATGTGAAAATACAAAAACGTGAATTCAGTATTCCATTTACTGGAACAGAGAGAGGAAAAGGGGACATATGAAAGAAGATGGGAGGAGAGCAGTGAGAGAGAGAGAAAGGAGAGGATTGTTGTGGGTAGAAAGGGGGACAGTGGTAGAGGATGGACGACTGCAAGAAAGTGTAAAGACAGAGAGAGAGAGAGTGAGAGGAGGATTTTGGGGAGAACGAAGGAGATGGAAATAGAAGGGAAGGAATGGAAGCAAATTTTTGCAGCTATTCATCATGCATACAAAGTAACAACATTGTTTACAACTTTGCATCAAAAGTAACAATTGTAAAAGTAATGATATGGGTAAGTTGCGTGTTTATGGGCGTGAATATTGTATGTTTCCAGAGAGAAATAGCGAATTAAAGAGAGAGAGAACGGGTCAGAGAGAGGGGAAGAAAATGGGAATGAGGGAGAGAAAATGAGAGAGATGGACGGACTGAAAGAGAACAGGAGAGGAAGAAAAAAACGGAGAAATAGTGTGGGAGAGAGACTGGCATAGAGACAGTCAGAAAGATAGAAGCCAACCACCGCTGGGTACCCAACAAGTACCATTTACTGTATATCCATATATGTTTAATTTGAAAAAAAAAGTCTGAGGCTGGTCTCCAGAACATTTTGGTAAACCTCACTCACCTTTGCACTCTGATCCCTGTGGGGCACATGCCAAGCATGGTCAGTTCGGTATAACCACATTTATAAAACTTTGGAAAGTGATTAGGAATGAAATTTCTAGTTTTATATAAAATATTGCACTACACAACCCAGGACATTATGGACTTAGAGCGAGAATATCCAGCCTGTCACAGTTACTCAACCACTATGACAAATTCAAGGAAGTCTTAGAAGGAAAGCAAAATTCAGATGATGAATACCTAGACTTTGTAAAGGCATTCAACAAATATGACCATGGAGTGATAGCCATAAAATGAGATAAACAGGAATCACGGTTAAAATGGGGAGCTGGATTTTCAATTTTCTTTCAAACAGAATGTAGGGAGTGACGGTCAATCAAAAATATCAAGCCCAAGTGCAGTGAAAAGCTCTGTACCCCAGGGTACAGTCCTTGCACCACTGCTATATCTCATTTTTATCTCGGATATAGACAAAAATACTAGTCGCATCTTTATGCCACCCTTTGCAGATGATACAAAAATCAGCATGAAAATTTCCAATGCAGAAAACACGGAAAATCTACACGCAGATATTAATAAAGTCTTCAATTAGGCAACTGAAAATAACTTGATGATTAACGGTGACAAGTTCGAGGTTCTTAGGTATGGTGGAGACGAAAAACTTAAACGAAACAGAATAAAGGACACAATCAGACCTACTCATAGACGGAAAGCAATATGTAAAAGATCTGGGAATTATGATGTCTGTGAGGCAGGCAGAAAGACCTTGAGATAAAAAGATACAATATGTCCATTATAGAAGGAAAACCCAACAGTCCTCTATGTCTGATGCAGTCTACAATTTTCTTAGATAAGGAAATTATAACGAAAAAGCGTAATTATCCCTTCCAAACGGATATAAATAGCTCTGACATATATAGCACTTGGAAGGTATATGAGGATAAGGATTTGGGAAACGACAAAGAGGGAATAGTGCCCAACACCTTGGACGGTCCGGGTACTGAATCCCGACATGAAGAAGCAATCCATCTAGATTATCAGATATTATCAGAGTATCATCCATCTAGATTATCAGATATTCGAACTCTGGATATTAATATACTGGACCGCCACCCTGCCAACCAGGCCCTGGAAGCTTAGATTGAAGAGGAACTTCAGAAGTACCAGACAGTTTAAACCTCACAAGGAGGACGACTCAGGAATCTTGATATAATCAGCAACACTGTCAGTGTCATATAAGATGTAATCAGCAACACTGTCAGTGCCATATTTGATGCAATCAGCAATAGCGCGGGAAAAATATTTAATTTACTCTTGTTATCTAAATCCCTCAGAGGTGATTAAAATGTTCAAGTAGCTCCACGACTATTAAAGTTTATTGCATAACAACTTAATTGAATTCAAATTTGTAATCATTAAAACACATAATTATCTGATCTGTTGTTGAAATTAATCTAATGTAATGGTAATAAACAGAGACAAATACTTATAAAAAAATAAAGAATTAAACATCTGAATTTTTGTGTTTAAAGACAGCAACACTTGATGCCATAGATCGCGGTTGCTTATTGTGATCAATAGTTTAAATCAGAGTCTCTCCTTGTCAACATTTCGAAATTTTTCAATAATTATCATCTGACAGTTTTTATGTTCAATAGATGAATATTTTTTACTGAAGAGGAAAAAGGATTGATCATTGACAACACTAAAAATATATGGTTCTGTTCAAAAGTTCATTAGTCGTTCCCAAAGGTAATAAGTTAAATCACAGCTGTTTGTAGAGGTATTATATTTAAAATTTATATCGTCACTGGTCATGAACCAGTGACGACATCTGTGGTCAGATCCAGTCAGTTACAGGAGCCGGGAGCTTCACCTTCCATAACCTGAAGGGAAAAGTAAATGTTTCTCATTAGTTTTATTTTACAATACGAATCAGCTCGATAAGTAGAATATTTCATTCAGGTCTCATACATATATATTAATATATATATATATATATATATATATATATATATATATATATATATATATATATATATATATATATACATTTGATAGTAAACGATTTAATGGACCGCATCATCTGTACTCACCATATCCATATCGGCGGCCATATCCACCAAAGCCACCGCCAAATCCTCCAAGTCCACCGCCGAATCCGCCTAGACCACCGCCAAATCCTCCAAGTCCACCGCCGAATCCACCCAGACCGCCTCCAAATCCACCACCAAATCCTCCAAGACCACCCCCAAAGCCTCGACTATATATGACGCCGGGAGCACCATAGGCAACGGCCACCATCACGGCCAACACCGTCAGTACTGAGATGAAACGCTGTCCAAGGAAAGAGTAAAGTTTGCATTACATTACGATAAAAAAGTAACTAATGAAGTCCTTATTAAAAAGCTTTCTTCTGAAGTTATTATAAAGAAACTATCTACTGCAGTCATTATGAAGAAGCTACCAGTAATTTGAAAAACATCACATAGTAGATGTAACATTTACCATGGTTGTAGAAGTTGTTGTTTTGTTGAGGAGTGAAGCCAGAGTGATGCCAAGGGAGGGTGTGCAGGACCTTATATAGGACAGTCGGCGCCTCCCACCCACCGTAACCTTCACCAGTCCACCTTTCCTACTACGTCACAGGATAACTTTGTTATTATAAAATTAAATCTTGAAGGGGATTGAGGAAGACAGTTCATGAGTTACAAACAGTCGTGAAGCTCGATAACATTATTGAGAATATGAGGGAGGGAGGTGTCCAGGTGTGCCCGAGTCTGTTTCATCTGTCTCCTAATCTTCCCTTTCTTATCTCTCTTCCCAAATTCCCCTCTCTTTTCATCTCTCCATCATAATCCCCTCTAGTCTCTACATCTTCTTCCCTCTCTCCGACTTTCCCTTCATTCTAATCCTCTCCACCATTCTAACCTCTCTTCTTCTAAAACTTGTCTCCCCTCTCCACCCGCTCTCACTATCTCTCCTATACCACATCGCTCCTTCCCCTCTCCACCTGTCTCCTCCACTCCCCTCATATATCACCTTCTTTCCCCCCCCCTCTCTTCAAACATTCCCCCTCTCCCTGCCTTTCCTTCCCCTTTTCACTATCTTTCTGTCTCTGCCATTCTCTCTGTCTGTGTGTTGTTATCTGCCTCTGTTTTTTTCTATCATTGTAACCACTATGTCTCTATAGGTGTCTCTCTCTCTCTCTCTCTCTCTCTCTTTCAGTCTCTGTCTGTCTGTCCGTTTCATTTTATGTTTGTCTTCCTCCGTGTAATTCTGTGTGACTCAGACTATCTGCCTTTGTCTCTCTGCTGACTATCTCTTAGTCTCTCTTTTATAGAATTAATATAATGGTGTACCATTAGCATTTGAGTGGTTCAAGATGGGAGGAGCTTAACAGTTTGATTATTTCAAGAACATATCAGTTACCCATTTTCTTTGAGAAATGGGCAGATTTTCATAAAGTTTTTTGAAGCTGAAAGAGGATCGTCTGTTTAATAATATTATGGTCAAGGCAAAAGTTTAAATAGCTGAACATTTATGTTAATTTTCCACCGATCCGTGATAAGTGTGTATAATAATAAAATTTGTGTTATTCTTTAATTTTTAAATGATTAGATAGGTGTAGTCAGCATGCAGTGCCAAAAATTGTAGATCGTGACTCTGACAAGCTATTTCGACATGAATGCTGGCAAGCCTCACTACCCTATGTCCGTCATGTACCCCTGACCATCACCACTGCAAAATGGTTGAGGCTACCCGAAGCATTTCATCTCCAACATTTGACAGTCAAAGGAACAGATATTCTCCACTATAGAAGTAGACTAAAGGGATATCCTCTATGCCTGGTTTTCTCACACCCCTTCCACCACCCCTCTTTCTCCAATTCGCCTCCTCTCAATTTTCTTTCCACACCTTGCACACAGAAATATGCAGACATTCTTTCATTCAGATATTGATGAGTTACGCGACAGTGCCCAGGACGACCCGATGCCTAGTTCTCCTTTGCACTCCCTCCCCTCCCCTTCCACCCCCAACAAACACCCTTCCTGTTTCTCTTTACACACTCCCTCCTAATCTCACCTATTCACTGGAAACGTCACACACTATCCATAACATTTTTAACATCTTCACAGCCTCTCCATCTTCCTAACACGTCTTCAGAATCTACACCCACACTCCTTCTCTATATTTTCCCCCACAACAACAGTTATATTTCTTTCATTAGATTTAAAGACAATAATTTTACTCCCAGTATTATGTACCGACAGTAATCCGCTTTTTAGTGTTACTGAGCTATACAAGACTGTAACTCATGAACTGTCTACCTCACTCCCCCTTGAAGATTTAATTAAAATAACAAGGTTGTCCTGTTACGTAGCACGGAAGGTGCACTGGTGAAGGTTACGGTGGGGGGGAGGCGTCGCCGGTCCTATATAAGGTCGTGCACACCCTTCCTCGGCATCACTCTAGCTTCACTCCTCAACAAAACAACAACTTTTACAACCATGGTAAATGTTACACCTACTATATGTAATATTTTGAAATTAGATCTCTATTACAGATAGCTTCTTTATAATGACTGCATTATATCTCTATTACTGATAGCTCCTTTATAATGACTGCAGTAGATCTCTATTACTGATAGCTTTTTTATAATGACAGCAGTAGTTAGTTTCTTTATAAAGTCTTCAGTAGATAGCTTCTTTATAAGGACTTTATTTTTTTAATCATTCTCAAATGCAAACGTTACTCTTTCCTTGGACAGCGTTTCCTCTCAGTACTGACGGTGTTGGCCGTGATGGTGGCCGTTGCCTATGGTGCTCCAGGCATCATCTATAGACGAGGCTATGGCGGTGGTCTTGGAGGCTTCGGTGGTGGATTCGGCGGTGGTCTTGGAGGATTTGGCGGTGGTCTGGGTGGATTCGGCGGTGGTCTTGGAGGCTTCGGTGGTGGCCTAGGCGGATTCGGCGGTGGACTTGGAGGATTTGGCGGTGGTTTCGGTGGATATGGCCGCCGGTATGGCTACGGTAAGTACAGGAAAATGCAGTTTATGCAGTGCAGTTACATTGAATAATGTACTAACATATGAATAAATATTAGAACTATATAAAATAATCTACAAATCGAGCTGATTCGTATTATGTAATAATACTAATTGTGAACATTTACTTTCTTCCTTCAGGCTATGGAAGGTGAAGTTCCCGGCTCCTGTAAATGACTGGATCTGACCTCAGATGTCGTCACTGATTCATGACCATTATTATTGTAAATATAATACCTTTACATAAAGCTGTGATTTCACTTATTACCTTTAGAAATGAACAACAGACTTTTGAACAGAATCAGATATTTTTTAATTTTTTGTCGATGTTCAATCCCTTCTTTCAGTAAGAATATTAATTTAATGAACATAAAAACTTGCAGTTGATAATTATTGAATAAATTTCAGTGTTGACAAGAAGAGACTCTGATTTAAATTATTGATCAAAATAAGTAAACACGTTCTATGACATCAAGTGTTGCTGTCTTTAAACACGAAAATTCAGATGTTTAATTCCTAATTATTATAAGTTTTTGTCTCTATTTATTACCATTTCATTTGATGATTTCCAAGAACAAATTAGATAATTATATTTTAATGATTACATATTTTAATTAAAAAACATTTTATATGCTATAAACTTTAATAGTCGTGGAGCTGCTTTAAGATATTAATCACCACTAAGGGATCGAGATAACACGAGTAAAAGAAATATTATTTCCCGCGCTATTGCGGATTGCATCTCATATGGCGCTGAGAGTGACGCTGATTATATCATGATTCCTGAGTCCTTCTCCTTGTAAGGTTTAAACTAGCTGGTACTTCTGAAGTTCCTTTTCAATCTGAGCATCTATGGCTGGGTTAGCAGGACGGCACTCCCGTATATTAATATCCAGAGTTCGAATCTCTGATAATGTAAGTGAATGAAAAAATATTGCTTCTTCAGTTCGGGATTAATTCCCGGACCGTCCACGCTGTTGGTCACTATTCCCTCTCTATCGTTTCCCAAATCCTTATCTCCATATTCTGTCCAAGTTCTATATATGTCAGCGCTTGGAAGGGATAATTACGCTTTCTCATTATAATTACCTTACCTAAGAAAATTGCTTGGTCTCTCTCGCTCGTGCTGTGTATCTCACTCTTATTATCTCAATGTTGTTTCTCTCACTCTTTTTTGTCTCTAATTCTGTCTGTCTGCCTCACTCTTTTTATCCTATCCCTTTATCAATGCTTCCTTATTCGATGTTATGTTCTTCATGATATCCTCAATGCACCATAATTTTAACAGTGTAGACTACTGATCAAATGGGACTGTATGACTAACCATCCTGTGTGATGGGGATTTATAGCATCACGGAGCTAGTTCTTGACACACTCTGTTCTCTCCTTTATTGTCCAGAGCAGCTGCACAAATGGAGATGTACTTAATGTGAAAATACAAAAACGTGAATTCAGTATTTCATTTACTGGAACAGAGAGAAGGGACATATGAAAGAAGATGGGAGGAGAGCAGTGAGAGAGAGAGAAAGGAGAGGATTGTTGTGGGTAGAAAGGGGGACAGTGGTAGAGGATGGACGACTGCAAGAAAGTGTAAAGACAGAGAGAGAGAGAGTGAGAGGAGGATTTTGGGGAGAACGAAGGAGATGGAAATAGAAGGGAAGGAATGGAAGCAAATTTTTGCAGCTATTCATCATGCATACAAAGTAACAACATTGTTTACAACTTTGCATCAAAAGTAACAATTGTAAAAGTAATGATATGGGTAAGTTGCGTGTTTGTGGGCGTGAATATTGTATGTTTCCAGAGAGAAGTAGCGAATTAAAGAGAGAGAGAACGGGTCAGAGAGAGGGGAAGAAAATGGGAATGACGGAGAGAAAATGAGAGAGATGGACGGACTGAAAGAGAACAGGAGAGGAAGAAAAAAAACGGAGAAATAGTGTGGGAGAGAGACTGGCATAGAGACAGTCAGAAAGATAGAAGCCAACCACCGCTGGGTACCCAACAAGTACCATTTACTGTATATTCATATATATTTATTTTGAAAAAAAAAGTCTGAGGCTGGTCTCCAGAACATTTTGGTAAACCTCACTCACCTTTGCACTCTGATCCCTGTGGGGCACATGCCAAACATGGTCAGTTCGGTATAACCACATTTATAAAACTTTGGAAAGTGATTAGGAATGAAATTTCTAGTTTTATAGAAAATATTGCACTACACAGCCCAGGACATTATAGACTTAGAGCGAGAATATCCAGCCTATCACAGTTACTCAACCACTATGACAAATTCAAAGAAGTCTTAGAAGGAAATCAAAATTCAGATGATGAATACTTAGACTTTGTAAAGGAATTCGACAAATATGACCATGGAGTGATAGCCATAAAATGAGATAAACTGGAATCACGGTTAAAATGGGGCGCTGGATTTTCAATTTTCTTTCAAACAGAATGTAGGGAGTGACGGTCAATCAAAAAATATCAAGCCCACGTGCAGTGAAAAGCTCTGTACCCCAGGGTACAGTCCTTGCACCACTGCTATATCTCATTTTTATCTCGGATATAGACAAAAATACTAGTCGCATCTTTATGCCACCCTTTGCAGATGATACAAAAATCAGCATGAAAATTTCAAATGCAGAAAACACGGAAAATCTACACGCAGATATTAATAAAGTCTTCAATTGGGCAACTGAAAATAACTTGATGATTAACGGTGACAAGTTCGAGGTTCTTAGGTATGGTGGAGACGAAAAACTTAAACGAAACAGAATAAAGGACACAATCAGACCTACTCATAGAAGGAAAGCAATATGTAAAAGATCTGAGAATTATGATGTCTGTGAGGCAGGCAGAAAGACCTTGAGATAAAAAGAGACAATATGTCCATTATAGAAGGAATACCCAACAGTGCTTTATGTCTGAAGAAGTCTACAATTTTCTTAGACAAGGAAATTATAACAAAAAAGCGTAATTAACCCTTCCAAACAGATAAATATAGCACTGACATATATAACACTTGGAAGGTAATGAGGATAAGAATTTGGGAAACGACAAAGAGGGAATAGTGCCCAACACCTTGGACGGTCCTGGTACTGAATATCGACATGAAGAAGCAATAACTTTTCATCCATCTAGATTATCAGATATTCGAACTCTGGATATTAATATACTGGACCGCCACCCTGCCAACCAGGCCCTGGAAGCTTAGATTGAAGAGGAACTTCAGAAGTACCAGACAGTTTAAACCTCACAAGGAGGACGACTCAGGAATCTTGATATAATCAGCAACACTGTCAGTGTCATATGAGATGTAATCAGCAACACTGTCAGTGTCATATAAGATGTAATTAGCAACACTGCCAGTGCCATATTTGATGCAATCAGCAATAGCGCGGGAAAAATATTTAATTTACTCTTGTTATCTAGATCCCTCAGAGGTAATTAATATGTTCAAGTAGCTCCACGACTATTAAAGTTTATTGCATAACAACTTAATTGAATTCAAATTTGTAATCATTAAAACACATAATTATCTGATCTGTTGTTGAAATTAATCTCATGTAATGGTAATAAACAGAGACAAATACTTATAAAAAAATAAAGAATTAAACATCTGAATTTTTGTGTTTAAAGACAGCAACACTCGATGCCATAGATCGCGGTTGCTTATTGTGAACAATAGTTTAAATCAGAGTCTCTTCTTGTCAACATTTCGAAATTTTTCAATAATTATCATCTGACAGTTTTTATGTTCAATAGATGAATATTTTTTCTGAAGAGGAAAAAGGATTGATCATTGACAACACTAAAAATATATGGTTCTGTTCAAAAGTTCATTAGTCGATTCCAAAGGAAATAAGTTAAATCACAGCTGTTTGTAGAGGTATTATATTTAAAATGATAATGGTCATGAACCAGTGACGACATCTGTGGTCAGATCCAGTCAGTTACAGGAGCCGGGAGCTTCACCTACCATAACCTGAAGGGAAAAAGTAAATGTTTCTCATTAGTTATATTTTACAATACGAATCAGCTCGATAAGTAGAATATTTCATTCAGGTCTCATATATATATATATATATATATATATATATATATATATATATATATATATATATATATATATATATATATATATATATATATATATATATATATATTATACATATATACACATTTGATAGCAAATTATTTAATGGACCGCATCATCTGTACTCACCATATCCATATCGGCGGCCATATCCACCAAAGCCACCGCCAAATCCTCCAAGTCCACCGCCGAATCCACCTAGACCACCACCGAAGCCTCCAAGACCACCGCCGAATCCACCCAGACCGCCGCCAAATCCACCACCGAATCCTCCAAGACCACCCCCAAAGCCTCGACTATAGATGACGCCGGGAGCACCATAGGCAACGGCCACCATCACGGCCAACACCGTCAGTACTGAGATGAAACGCTGTCCAAGGAAAGAGTAAAGTTTGCAATATATTACGATAAAAAAGTAACTAATGAAGTCCTTATTAAAAAGCTTTCTTCTGAAGTTATTATAAAGAAATTATCTACTGCAGTCATTATGAAGAAGCTACCAGTAATTTGAAAAACATCACATAGTAGATGTAACATTTACCATGGTTGTAGAAGTTGTTGTTTTGTTGAGGAGTGAAGCCAGAGTGATGCCAAGGGAGGGTGTGCAGGACCTTATATAGGACAGTTGGCGCCTCCCACCCACCGTAACCTTCACCAGTCCACCTTTCCTACTACGTCACAGGATAACTTTGTTATTATAAAATTAAATCTTGAAGGGGATTGAGGAAGACAGTTCATGAGTTACAAACAGTCGTGAAGCTCGATAACATTATTGAGAATATGAGGGGAGGGAGGTGTCCAGGTGTGCCCGAGTCTGTTTCATCTGTCTCCTAATCTTCCCTTTCTTATCTCTCTTCCCAAATTCCCCTCTCTTTTCATCTCTCCATCAAAATCCCCTCTAGTCTGTACATCTTCTTCCCTCTCTCCCACTTTCCCTTCATTCTAATCCTCTCCACTATTCTAACCTCTCTTCTTCTAAAACTTGTCTCCTCTCTCCACCCGCTCTCACTATCTCTCCTATGTCACATCGCTCCTTCCCCTCTCCACCTTTCTCCTCCACTCCCCTCATATATCACCTTCTTTTATCCCCCCCTCTCCCTGTCTTTCCTTCCTCTTTTCACTATCTTTCTCTGTCTCTGCCATTCTCTCTGTCTGTGTGTTGTTATCTGCCTCTGTTTTTTTCTATCCTTGTCACCACTATGTCTCTACAGGTGTCTCTCTCTCTCTCTCTCTCTCTCTTTCAGTCTCTGTCTGTCCGTTTCAATTTATGTTTGTCTTCCTCCGTGTAATTCTGTGTGACTCAGACTATCTGTCTTTGTCTCTCTGCTGACTATCTCTTAGTCTCTCTTTTATAGAATTAATATAATGGTGTACCATTAGCATATGAGTGGTTCAAGATGGGAGGAGCTTAACAGTTTGATTATTTCAAGAAACATATCAGTTACCCATTTTCTTTGAGAAATGGGCAGATTTTCAGAAAGTCTTTTGAAGCTGAAAGAGGATCGTCTGTTTAATAATATTATGGTCAAGGCAAAAGTTTAAATAGGAGAACATTTATGTTAATTTTCCACCGATCCGTGATAAATGTGTATAATAATAACATTTGTGTTATTCTTTTATTTTTAAATGATTAGATAGGTGTAGTCAGCATGCAGTGCCAAAAAATTGTAGATCGTGACTCTGACAAGCTTTTTCCACATGAATGCTGGCAACCCTCACTAGCCTATGTCCGTCATGTACCCCTGACCATCACCACTGCAAAATGGTTGAGGCTACCCGAAGCATTTCATCTCCAACCTTTGACAGTCAAAGGAACAGATATTCTCCACTATAGAAGTAGACTAAAGGGATATCCTCTATGCCTGGTTTTCTCACACCCTTCCACCACCCCTCTTTCTCCAATTCGCCTCCTCTCAATTTTCTTTCCACACCTTGCACACAGAAATATGCAGACATTCTTTCATTCAGATATTGATGAGTTACGCGACAGTGCCCAGGACGACCCGATGTCTAGTTCTCCTTTGCACTCCCTCACCTCCCCTCCAACCACCAACAAACACCCTTCCTGTTTCTCTTCACACACTCCCTCCTAATCTCACCTATTCACTGGAAACGTCACACACTATCCTTAACATTGTTAACTTCTTCACAGCCTCTCCATCTTCCCTAACACGTCTTCAGAATCTACACCCACACTCCTTCTCTATATTTTCCCCCACAACAACAGTTATACTTGTTTTATTAGCTTTAAGGACAATAATTTTACTCCCAGTATTATGTACCGACAGTAATCCGATTTTTAGTGTTACTGAGCTATACAAGACTGTAACTCATGAACTGTCTACCTCACTCCCCTTGAAGATTTAATTAAAATAACAAGGTTGTCCTGTTACGTAGCACGGAAGGTGCACTGGTGAAGGTTACAGTGGGGGGGAGGCGTCGCCGGTCTTATATAAGGTCCTGCACACCCTTCCTCGGCATCACTCTAGCTTCACTCCTCAACAAAATAACAACTTTTACAACCATGGTAAATGTTACACCTACGATATGTAATATTGTGCAAATTAGATCTCTATTACAGATAGCTTCATTATAATGACTGCATTATATCTCTATTACTGATAGCTCCTTGATAATGACTGCAGTAGATCTCTATTACTGATAGCTTCTTTATAATGACAGCAGTAGTTAGTTTCTTTATAAAGTCTTCAGTAGATAGCTTCTTTATAAGGACTTTATTTTTTTAATCATTCTCAAATGCAAACGTTACTCTTTCCTTGGACAGCGTTTCCTCTCAGTACTGACGGTGTTGACCGTGATGGTAGCCGTTGCCTATGGTGCTCCCGGCATCATCTATAGACGAGGCTATGGCGGTGGTCTTGGAGGCTTCGGTGGTGGATTCGGCGGTGGTCTTGGAGGATTTGGCGGCGGTCTGGGTGGATTCGGCGGTGGTCTTGGAGGCTTCGGTGGTGGCCTAGGCGGATTCGGCGGTGGACTTGGAGGATTTGGCGGTGGTTTCGGTGGATATGGCCGCCGGTATGGCTACGGTAAGTACAGGAAAATGCAGTTTATGCAGTTTATGCAGTTTATTCAAATACATTGAATAATTTACTAACATATAAATAAATATTAGAATATATAAAATAATCTACAAATCGAGCTCATTCGTATTATATAATAATACTAATGAGAAACATTTACTTTCTCCCTTCAGGCTATGGAAGGTGAAGTTCCCGGCTCTTGTAAATGACTGGATCTGACCTCAGACGTCGTCACTGATTCATGACCATTATTATTGTAAATATAATAACTTTACATAAAGCTGTGATTTAACTTATTACCTTTGAAAACGATAGACAGACTTTTGAACAGAACCATATATTTTTTAATTTTTTGTGGATGTTCACTCCCGTCTTTCAGTAAAAATATTAATTTACTGTACATAAAAACTTGCAGTTGATAGTTACTGAATAAATTTCAGTGTTGACAAGAAGAGACTCTGATTTAAACTATTGATCACAATTAGTAAACACGTTCTATGGCATCAAGTGTTGCTGTCTTTAAACACGAAAATTCAGATGTTTAATTCCTAATTTTTAAAGGTTTTGTCTTTATTTATTACCATTACATGTGATGAATTTCAAGAATAGATCAGATATTTATGTTTTAATGATTACATATTTTAATTCAATAAAATCTTTTATGCTATAAACTTTAATAGTCGTGGAGCTGCTTAAACAAATTAATCACCACTAAGGGATCTAGATAACAGGAGTAAATGGAATATTATTTCCCGCGTTATTGCGGATTGCATCTCATATGGCACTGACAGTGATGCTGATTATATCAAGATTCCTGAGTCGTCCTCCTTGTGAGGTTTAAACTGGCTGGTACTTCTGAAGTTCCTCTTCAGTCTTTGCTTCCATGGCCGGGTTGGCAGGACGGCGTTCCCATATATTAATATCCAGAGTTCGAATCTTTGTCAATCTAAGTGAATGAAAAGTTATTGCTTCTTCAGTTCGAGATTAATTCCCGGACCGTCCACACTGTTGGTCACAATTCCTTCTTTATCGCTTCCCCAAATCCTTATCCTCATATACCTTCCAAGTGTTATATATGTCAGCGCTTTGAAGGGATAATTACGCTTTCTCATTATAATTTCCTTACCTAAGAAAAGTGTGAACTGCATCAGACCCAGAACACTGTTGGGTAACCGGCAGTGCCCGGGAATCTCTTTCCCGTGCTGTCTCTCACTCTTATTACCGAAATGCCTGTCTCACTCTTTTTATTTCTAGGTCTGTCTGTCTGCCTCACTCTTTTTATCCCTATGCCTGTCTTCTATTCTGTCTCTTTTTCTCTAGCTTTCTCTCTAGCCGTTTGTTTCTATAATAAACAGTCGATCCTCCAAATGTCATGCCGATGACATTTGAATTTTTGCAAATATTCAAACTAAACTGCAAGTTCTTCTCGATTCTCTGGCTGCTGAAAACATTGAATGCGGTCTTTTTATCTCTATAACAAAATCCAGAGCTTTTCATCCCCAGGAAAAGAAGCTATGTCCCTCTAGCTTTAAAAATATACAAGCAAAACATTGAAATATGTAAGCAGCACAAATACCTTGGAATAAGGATTCAACAGTGACATTGTAAACGACCTACATCGTAGGTTAAAAATAAATAAATAAATAAATATACTACTGAAGAAAACTAATGGGTAGAATATTCGTATCAATGTTAAATCTGCTAAATTATGCAACATGATGTTTGTTAGATCCATAGTTTATTATCATGCACCAAATTAACTTCCCCGCTTCTGTTTTGAACTAGAAATAATATAGAATGAAGCCATAAAGGTAATTTTTGGCGCCCCACGATGCACAAGAATTATCAACATGAAGAAAGAACTGAAGCTTACAACTATACCAGAGAGATTCATGCAAATCAACACGACCTTTTGCCTTATAGTACTGAGAAAACCTACATCACCTGCAATGCTCTCAGGCAAATTATTTCTTGCCGTTAACACACTATTGAGTGGTGCTAACATTCCAACTCACTCCTTGTATAATAAATGGCTGAGTAAAAATGCGTACAATCTCATCAGATTGAACATTCCTTTTAAATGTAATCTACCTGTCATTGATTCATTGAAATCTGTTCCTCACAATTCAAGTATCACACACATCCGTCACTAAGAAAAGGAGTGAGAATCCAGCTCTTTTCAAAGCTGTTGCACTTGAAACAATTGCCAACTCCATCAAAAATATAAGATCTCAAGAGCAGTGTGTCTACACCGACTACTCTGTCAAGTCGTCAGCATGACTGACTGCAGCAGCACCTTGTACGTTTTCCAGCAACAATATTGCACACAAACTATCAGTGTCAGTTTAAACAACTGGCTGTCCTTTACATAAAGAGAACTAGCTGCACTAAAACTAGTTACCATAACATTTAAAGACACAGGAGTAGGAATAATATTTAGTGATTCAAAGTCTGGTCTTCAAGCTGTTGAAAACTTTTCCTTCACGATGAACAGTAACAGCCTCCCAATTTCAATTATAAATAACTTGTTCGCTGCACAGAATAAAGAGTTT